TTGTCACTGGGCTAATAGTCATACCATAGACTGGGGAAGTGGGATGTCACCCATAGCATTCAACTCCAGTCAAATGAAGCTCATTGAGGTTGGCAGTTATGGGGCGAATTTGTTCCATTTTAGGAATAGGAATTGATTTACCGACAAAACAGCAAAATAAAAACCCCAGGATCACATAGAGCGGGTTAATACAAACATTTTAAGACCCAAATGACGAAGCTCACAGCAGCAGTTACAGAGAGAAGGGTGACGGTTTTCCAATAGAAAGTGAATTGGAACCAGAGTCAATGGAGCCGGAAGTGTTTCCATACAACACAATACAAAACACATACACCATAAGTCTATATAAATCTATTCTCAAAAGGAAAGGATTTCTAATCATTGGAAACAGTAGCTTTTCAGTCGTGCATACATTGAACTCTGCGAGGTTCGATTGCAATTGTCTTCAAACATAATTATGACGATGGAAACTCGAGACCCCCGCTGGGAGGAAGGGGATGTTTAATTACTGATAAGATGTCGAAATGGTACACTCCAAGATAACACCATTCTGAAGCCTGAAAACGCAATCTCACTCGGGGACTGTTTTATCAAGAGGAGAAAGAAACTGGATATGTAGAGCAATTTAAAAGGTCTATATTACGCAGAATGGACTCTTGTGAGGTTTAAGTCGTGTTAGAATGATGTTACTTCATCAAAAACATACCTGGAGTTGTGTTTCATTCATGTTTTGTTAAATTCATGTTTGAGTATTTCTAAAGCTCAAAATATTCAGTTCCACCTTGTGATGTCATGAAATTTTCTGGTGGAGGGTTCGCCAAATGTTTTTCTCCATGGAGATGTTATTGCTTCATCTGGAATGTTTCACAGTTTTCTATCTTTATGGAGACCAAACCAGACCAAGTTACAAGTCAGATCTGTGGAGAGGCACTATGCACTAAGTAACTTTTTGGTTGGGGGTCCATCACCTGCTTGTTTCTATGGAGATGTCATTGCTTTGCCTGGAATGTTCTACAATATTAACACCTCTATCTTACATTTATTCAATTACATTTGGTTGTATTAGCCTGATTCATCAGACGGTTTCACTTCATGGAAACCGACTGACCTCGCAGCATTAGGATTCATTCACTTGACGGTAGGCGGGTACTTTTTTATTTAACCAATCACTGGTCGTGTAATGCTCCAAATCCCATAGGAAAAAGGGCAATAACGTCTTTGTCCGTGATAAAATTCACCAAACTCTTTGTTCCGGGTTTAAATCCTTGATCTCGGGAATCATTGCCAACACAGAATGTCTTCATCTACATCCATCTCGACCGCTTTGTTTACTGTTGCGCTGTTCCACAAAAAGGACCCAGACAGGCGTGACGAGTTTGACGTCATGGCTTCACAGCTCTTCACCGATTGTCTGGTGTGCGGTCTACAACTTCTGGGGTTCTTGCAAACCGTCTAGTGTATTCTCATTCCTGACCTAGTCGCACTAGATGGCCCCTGCCTGGCTATAGTTTTACAGCTTAAAAATAAAGAAAAACAGGCATTCTGACTGTGAGTAGGGTCACCTCTCTGCAGATCTGACCTGTAACTTGGTCTGGTTTGGTCTCCATGAAGATACAAAGGTTTAATGCCATACTGTGAAACATTCCAGACAAAGCAATAACATCTCCACGGAGAAAAGCATTTGGCAAACTCTCCACCACAAAAGTTACATAATGCACCTTAAAGTCAGACATTGTCACTGTATAAATAAGTCAACTCATTTAACTCAAGTAGTGTTAACTCAGTTCTATTAAAGGGTCAATATTACACTATTTTCTGATCTGTGTTATAATGTTTCTTCATCACAAACAAACCTGGAGTTGTGTTTTGTTTCATTCACACGTGTTTAACACACTAACCCTGCATATTTAGTTCATGTCTCAAACTGAAAACACTCTATTCCACCTTGTGATGTCATGTGGTAATACAGGAAGTGCTCCACTGTGTTTTTAAACTCCACACAACTTCACTAGAATCATTTGGATCATTTCAGCCCTGGAATTGCCAATCTGTACTGAACTAAAAGGTAAAAGAAGCTTCACGACATCTCCAGGTATGTTTTTGACGAGGTAACAACATAATAACATGACTTAAAGCTCACAAGAGTCCATTTTGTTTAATATGGGACCTTCAAAGTAGCTGTCATGGATTTATTTAATGTAATATTCCTGATTGTTGTTGATGATGGACACCGCGTGGTACAGTTAAATATAGACCTTCTCCACAGCTCTCCTACGTGCCTCAGAACAGATGAATATCCAACATCGGATCAAAAAAGTGATTAATGCGTCTCTGATTCACCCCACCGCCGCAATGTAAAAATATGCTTCTCAGACGTCAACTTCCATGAGTAATTTCTGATCTTTAATACTCAGAGGAAACACGTGTAGCCAGCTATGTGAAGGCCACAATATGGAGCTTGATACAGGGTTAAGTAAACAAGAACATTTTTCTATTTCTGTTCTATTTTCTATTTCTATATTGCACCAAAATGGATTGTTATGTTGTTGTGTTATGTTACAAATGTTGTTACCTCCTCAAAAACATACCTGGAGATGTGTTTTGTTTCTTTCGCGCATTTTTGAGTAACCCTGCATCAGTGGTGGAAGAAGTACTCAGTTTTGTTACTTAAGTAAAAGTACAGATGCAGGATGAAAAGATTACTTAAGTAAAAGTATCATATGAAGACATCTGCTTAAGTAAAACTATTGAAGTGCCTGTTCAAAAATTTAAAGGGTAAAAGTACATGTATTTTGGAGAGATTTTTTGAATGATTTAAGGATGAAATGTGATTTTAATAAAAGAATCAGCTGATTTTAAGAGATTCAATTGATTTCTTAATTATTCTATTAGTTTTTTGTGTTTTTGTGTATTTGATTTGCTCAAAGTTGGGACAGAAACTCAAATTAAATGCACTAAAAATAAGTGTAAGTAGTAGAGTAGAAAGTACAGATACATGCTCTCAAATGTAGTTTAAAAAAAAAAGTTAAAGTAAAAAGTATCCACTGTAAAATGTTCATGTAAAGTTAATTTTAATTTAAAGTAGATATACCTAAAAGCTGTGTATTTGATTTGCTCCAAGTTGGGACAGAAACTCAAATGAAATGTACTAAAAATGAGTCTCAGCCATTTCAGCAGGTCTCAAACCATAAACAAAAGTACTTTTTACTTTTCAGTCCAGATTCAAAATGTAGTAGAATAGTACAGATAAACTCTCTCAAATGTAGTAAAAAAAGTAAACATAAAAAGTATCCACTGTAAAATGTTCATGTAAAGTTAAGTTTAATTTACAAGTAAAGTACAGATAGTAGATAGTTAAGTACTTTTACTTTTGTACTACATAAACCATAATCCTTTGCTCTGTTTCAGTCCAATTTACGTGACAAAATAACTGCTATTAAGCACTTTTAAATCTTAACTCTTTGGTGTATGACAGAACCAAAGGATGGTCAAGGAATTTTAAAGGAAAAAGTAGTATCGTACCGAGAGATGCGTTTCGTGAAAAGATCGTACGGAGAAATTTTGACATCGTTACATCCCTAATGCTAATGTGACCTCAATATTTCCCTGGACATCCCGTCCACATCCCAAATCTGGCAAACAGTTTCACAATGGCCCACTTGCTGTTTCTTTTCTTACTATACATTCTAATTCTCAACTCATTTCACATTCAATCACCAAACTTGGACAATATACGAAATTATACATTCAGATGGAGCGTATATTGTACTGCAGTATCAAATCACAGCTGACAATAAGAGTGAAATGGAGAGGAGGTAGCACTGTCTGTCTGTATATTTGTCTCTCTGTCTGCAGGATGATTCACTTATTCAGACAGAAATGCGAGCGGAGCGAATTCAGAATCAATTTGTGTATTGCAAGAGTCTAAAGACGAAGCAGGCGACGTCCGTCCGTTTGTAAAGAAGAGATAAGAATTGCATTTCGAAATTATGTGTTAACTTTGAGGTCTGACTCGCCGCAGATCGCTTGGAAATGGATAAAATGCGTAACATTTCTGGTCTCCATGGAAATGTTATTGCTTTGTCTAGAAGCAGGGTAAAACACTACATTACAGGTCAGATCTGTGGAGAGTCGAGAATTGTTGTATTTTTGAGCAATAGAAACACCTGTAATGAAAAAAAGGTAGATGGATATGTTTAAAGTCATACCACGGAATATTCCAGGCCAGGAAATAGCATCTCTGTAGCAGACCCTCCATCATAAAAGTTGCACAGTTCACCTTTAAGTCTGAACATATGAAACTATATAAAACTAGCAAGTACTACCTCGTCGCTGTGAGCAACAACATCACGTGGAATCTGTAAGATAAATGAACATTATTTCATTCTGTTTTGGTCAGTTTAAAGTGGGACTAAACACTAAATTCACTTCTAAAACTGTCCGTGTACTGCCTCCTGTAGTTACTGCAATTTCAAGTACTATCTGACATCACACAGCACTGCCGCGATTACAGCCTGGTGTTTTTTTTTTAAATTACAAACACTTGGCTGCATTGGAGGAGTTTGACCAATCACAGTGTTCCTTATGCCTTCAGAATCTACACTGTGGAACATTCTAGACAAAGCAATGACATATCCATGGAGACAAGTAAGTAGCGGACCTTCCACCAGAAAAGCTGCGCAGTTCACCTTTAATTTTGACCATATGAAACTATATGAAAACTGAGCAACAACATCACCTGGACTCTGTATGATAAATTAATATTATTCATTTTGCACTGTTTTGGTCATTTTAAAGTGGAATTAAGTACTAAATTCACTGTGGTTACTGCAATTTCACAACATCACGCAGGACTGCCGTGATTACAGTCTGGTGTTTGTTTGTTTTTTTTATTTTATTGCAAACACTTGGCTGCATTGAAGGAGGTGACGGACCCCAAACCAAAAAGTTACATAGTGCGTGTTTAAAGTGTGTGTCTGAATGTATGGGAGAGGAGATACCTGGAGAAGGAGGTCAGACGCGGGTTTGATTTTCTGTTGGAACAAAACGCTGAGAGCCCGATTCTGCTGCTCCAGGTCGAAAACACGAGTGCGCAGTTTCACGCACTCCTCACGAAGATCCTACAACAGAAACAGAAATACAGTATTTTGAAATGTGGTTATAGAAGTATGGAAAACTATGAGTAAAAGTTCAGTTTGGAAAGTTAAAATTTAAAGAGGGGGTATTACGCTTCTGTGGGGTATTTATAGCTAAAACATAACATTTAGAGCACCTTGTTAACTTGTATTGTTTTGAAAATGCTCAACTTACTGCCCGTTCAGAGCGCTAATAAAACTACTGCACATCGCATCAGGTTTGTGAAGTTGTAGTGTATTGCATTGTATTCTGCTTTTGCATACATATAGAGAATTGTTATATGGGGCCATGGGTGACATAGGCTTGTGGGCGATCTTTGCACAGACTCATACTGCTACACATAATGAGGGTTCAAGTAGGGCCTGGGAGAGATCGCTAAATTACTCAAACATGCAAGGACGACATCTAAAACTTTTTCAGGCTTGTTTTTGATGATTGAGCCATGTAGTAGAAAGCTCCAAAAAGTCAATTTTGGAGAAGACCTCCTCATTAAATGTGCACTGTGTACCCTTTCTGGTGGAGGGTCTGCCACCTGCTTGTCTCTATGAAGATGATTTTTTTTTTAAATAAACTTTTCTACATTGCATTTATTCCTTTTCAGATGTTGCTAAATAAAAAACAAGGACAAGGACAATTTCTATGGAGACAAGCAAGAGGTGGAAGAAGTGCACCTTTAAGCACTAGTCTACTAGATTCTATAGATTGGACAAACTGCTACAAACCATTACAACCTATAACTATTATGACTACTTTTATTTTTTTTAGTATTGATATTGCTACTTTTGTATATATATGTTTGTACTGAATATCGGTAGTCGATAAATCTGAATCAGTTTCTCGACATTCATTGTAAATGCACTCCTTTGCAACAACTGGGGAAAATATGGATGCCTGAGAAAATTTAATGCAACTCAATTATAGCAGATTGACAATTACATGTTCAGGAAAGAAAATGATGTGAAAGAAACTGTAAATGTCACTACAAAGTTTTTAGAAGACACTTTCTCTACACATTCACAACTTAACATATTAAATTGACAAAAAGACAATTTACTGTATGTGCTGACATTTATGCTGTGACGTAAATCTGTACCGAACAAGCCCGACTTTGTGTTTCAGAACCCCGATTTAATTTGCAGTTCCACTGCACTTTCTCGAGGTGGAGGTCGGTTTTCTCCAAGTCCCGAGCACAATAGCCTCGTCATTTTGGTCTTAAAACGTTCGTATTAACCCGCTCTACATGATCCTGGGGGTTTTATTTCACTATTTTGTCTGTTAATAAATTCCTATTCCTAATATGGACCTGGCTCCAAATTCGCCCCTGTAACTTCAAGCCTCGATGAGCTTCATTTGACTGGAGCTGAACACTATGTTTACTAGATGTTGCGAAGTCAATTGTTAATCTTTTTATGAGTTGACTGATTATTTTTAAGGCTTAATAGAATGCAAATTACTACCAATAGAATGCAAAATTACTACGAGTAATTGCTGGAGGAAGTGTCTGGGGTGAAGGAAGTCTGGGAGTCCCTGCTTCGACTGCTGCCCCCGCAACCCAGCCCCGGATAAGCGTAAGAAAATGGATTAATGGATTCTGCTAGAACATATTTCACTACCATTATGAATACTTCAATATGTTCTATTACTAATTTTACACATGTCAACAACACGACCTAGTACTACTACTACAACTACTACAATTACAACTCCTACTGCTACTTTTGCTGCTACTTTCCACATTATTGTTATGTATGTACTTTTACTAAATCCATAGCTAAAATCTTCTTATTATCAACATATCTAACCTACGGCTTTACACCCACGTCAAACGCAATAACATGTAATGGACGTCATGTGTTATAACGCCGGTAGCCGAGAGCGGTTTCCACGGTAACGGCAGACATACCTTCTGAGTGAGCAGCGCCTGGACCACTTGATTGGCCACCTGCAAACACAAGATAGAACATGTCAGCTCGGTAAAAGGAGTTTAATATGGAACATGTCCGATATACAAACAATACAGTGTCAATCATTATAAAGAGTGCGTGTTACGGGGAGACTAGGTTTGGAAATACTGGACTATAACTGCTGCTGTAACTAGCCGCCGCGTTCCAAACAGGAAGTGAGCATAAAAAACATTAAATAAACATTAAAATTCTAATTAATTAAAATAAAAACTACCCAATTATTTTTATATGTAGAATACAGCAGTTTATAGCATTGTTGTGACATTTATTATGCCGCGACATTAGCGTTATCTTTAGCATTGAGACACAAACATCTCTCTTTCTAAACGCAGAAGTATTCATTTTATTTTTGTACTTTTTAACAAGTTGTCAGTGACATCCACCCACAGCTCCCCTTTCACTGCTTTATCGTTAAATATGTATAAATGTTATAAATGTTAGCATGACTCAGAGAGATAAAATTGGACAGGAAGTAGTTACGCTAACAAAAAGTGTCACCCTTCTCTGTACCTGAGCCTCGTCATTCTGGTATTTAAATGTTTGTTTTAATCTTTTCTACATAATCCTGGGGGTTTTATTTCACTATTTTGTCCATTAATAATGCCTATTCCTAATATGGACCTGGCTCCAAATTCACCCCTGTAACTTTAGCCTCGATGAGCTTCATTTGACTGGAGCTGAACCCTATGCTTACTAGATGTTGCAAAGTCAATTGCTAATGTTTTTATGAGTTGACTGATTATTTTATTATGGATTTATTATATTTTGTTTCATTCACACATTTAATGCAAAAACTCCGCATATTTAGGCAGAGAAAACACTCTGTTCCACCTTGTGACGTCATGTGGTAGTAGACCATATACCTTCACTAGAATCATTTCGATAATTTGGAATTTGGAATTGCCAATCGCTACAAAACAAAACGCAAAATGTAGCTGTTCACTTGAAAACAACCGCTTCATGACATCACAAGGTGGAATAGAACATTTTGAGTTTTGGAGATGTAGACTAGGTTTACTCAAACATGTGTGAATGAAACAAAACACAACTCCAGGTCTGTTTTTGACAAGGTAACAACATTAAAACATGATTTAAAGCTCACAAGAATCAACAGGCTCTATTCACTCTTACGTCACAAGCCAGGAAGATGTTTGGAAAAATGCGATGAAAACTTCCGGTGTAGTTAAGGACACTAGACTCACCAACCGACTGTGATAAAACCCCTTGAAGTAAATGTGATCAGCGATAAAATAAAGACTGCATACGTATGTGCTGTTTGGAATCATCTTGAATTTGACGCCTCATCTCTTCTAATTGCGTGTACCCAGTGCGCTCAGAGTTGTGCGTCAGTGCAGAAACGAAGAAAACTGAGGAATGGTTGGAACTGTTAATTAGCCGAACATAACGGAACACTACAATGACATGCAAATGAAGAAAGCTGGGTCTTTTTCTCATTTTTCCAAGATTTTGTCAAACTTACTACCGTGAACAGAGCCCGCCGGACCTTGTCATCGCATGTTTCCAAACGTCTTTCTGGTTTGTGACGTAAGCCTGTATAGAGTCGATTTTACATAATATAGAACCTTTAAACTTCACCGCATGTCCTTAACTCGCTATGAACTTCTACCATTACAGTTACCGCACCTCTTTAGACCATAGCAGAGGTGTAAAAGCGTCGTACCCCCCATACACAGTGTTCAGTGGCTTTTGAACACTGCGCTCCCCTGACCGCAGCCCTTGCACTGGGAGCGCTCACATTACAAATCATTGATCTCTCATTATTACAGCGTGAAGCCACTCAACGCAGACACTCACGATGCATTATGGGTCTATAGCGCAGATGGACAGAGTGTGGTCAAATGAAGCGGCCAGCTAACAGCGCGGAACCTGCCCCCGAGCAAAACAAAACACTGGATCCCTACAAAAATAAATGGATAATGTGTGTATTGCGGACAGTGGTGGATGAAGTACACAGTTTTGTTACAGGGCGAAACGTTGCTCAAGTAAACGTAAAAGTATCACACGGAAAAATCTGCTTAAGTAAAAGTATTAAAGTTTTTAAATGTGCGTAAGGAGTATAAAGTGATTGTATTTTGTAGAGATACTTAGAACTATTAAAGGATGAAATGCAGTGATTTTGATCCAAGAATTTAGCTCATTTTAAGTGATTGCATTGATTTCTTAATTTTTCTAGTCATTTTTGTGTTTTTGGTTTGCTCAAAGTTGGAACAGAAACTCAAATAAAATAATATGAGTCTAAAAAAGTCTCAGCCATTTCAAAGTACTTTTTACTTTTCAGTCCAGATCTAAAATGTAGGTGGAGTAGAACGTACAGACACACGTTCTCAAATGTAGTGAAGTAAAAGTAAAAAGTATCATTATTATACTTTTATACTTCGTTACCTTCAACCACTGGTTTTGTTTCATTCACACGTTTGAGAAATCCTTTATTATTAGTCTGTCTTACATCTCCAAAGCTCAAAATGCTCTGTTCCACCTTGTGTTTCTAATGGGCTACAAACATTTTATATTTTTGTCTTATTTTGTCAACATTTCAACCAATAAGGACATTCTTCCAAAATTGTCAAAGTTCTCGGCGCATGGACGCTTGACATGTTGGTGGTAAGTTTTCATTGTGTTTCTTTGTTTTTTTTCTGCCAGATTCTCTTCCTTCATCCACAGCCACCAACAAAGCGCGGCAGTGGTTCTTCATATTCTACACCTCCAGAGCTCAAAATGTTCCTTTCTGGTGTAATCAAGTTGTGGTTTTCGATTTAACAGCTCTTTTACCTTTAGGTCAGTAGAGATTGGCAATTCCAGAGCTCATATCATCCAAATGATTCTGCAGGCAAACTTGTTATTAATATGTTTTATGCCAGATGCCCTTCCATCCCTGCCATCAACAAAGGGTGATCTCCTTTAAGCAATTTTACCTCACTGACTATTTGTTAACAAAGAAAACTTTTAGCTAGTTTATTGATCTTATATTACACAGAATTAACTCTTGTGAGCTTTAAGTCATGTTAGAATGTTGTTTCCTCATCAAAAATAGACCTGGAGTTGTGTTTAGTTTTATTTACATGTGTCTAACACTTGGGGTGTGCAAAAGTATTGAAATATCGATATCTTTTATCGTTTAATTTGATAATGCAGTATTGGGGTGCTGTATCAATATATCACCAAGAGTACTTTTTGGTACATTTTACTAAATTATTTTGCTACAGTGCTACAGTTTTGTTGTTTGTTTAGTGGAAGGAAACTGGTTTATGCGACACATTTGACATTTTCACAGTTTTGTGGATAAAAATGGGCATTTTATTTTCACTTTGCACAAGAAGTGGTTTAACAAAGACCTTTCGTATCACAGCCATAATTTAGCCATTATTTTTTACTGAAACGTATTTAATCAATTTGAAATATAACATATTGAATCATATTGTATCAAGATATATATCATAGCGTGGCCTTGTATCGAGGTACGTATCGTATTATGGCCTATGTATCGAGGTATCTATCGTATCGTGGCCTATGTATCGAGGTATGTATCGTATCGGCAACTTCTGAATGATACCCAGCCTTAAATAACACACAATCCCTGCATAGTTAGATTGACAACATAATAACATAGATCAGAAAACAGCCTAATACAACCTTTTAATTGACATCACAACTTTCTACAGATGCAACTGCGGCAACCATCCTGGTGAGGTCAGAACAGGTCCCCCGCTCAATAAGTCACCCTATACCCACTCTCTTGCTTTATGTCCACATTTTCTGCTTGTGCCCGCTAGCCAAACTCCCCTTCAGCTATGTTTCTGCTTCGCTAGCTGCCCTCCCTGGTGGTGTCATTGCGCCATACGCCTCTGCCTGGTTTATTCCTCTCCCGGGGCTCTCGAGCTAGCTCCTGCAAACAACGAGAGGGCAGCCGAGTGCGCTTGTTATGTAAATTATAGCATTAGCATCGCCGTTCCGCGCTGGGTTAACGGCGCGTTTTATGGCGAAATTAATATTCTTTGCGGGGGTACAGGAAAGGGCCCCAAAACCGCCAATTAAAAACCTATTAAAAGTATATCATCTCACCTATACAAGACTTAAGGGAGGAGAAAAAGGTAGCGTTATTTTAGCTAGCCAAGGTTTGGAATTAATTGCTATTACCGGCAATTAAGCTAGCAAGTGGAGAAATATTGACCACTTGTGGGATGTCCCTTTATTGTTATGTCTTGTTTTGCCAACATTAAGTTAAGCCAGGAGAATTAGATAGGCCGGGAGGAGGCTGTTTGGCTTTATGGCTAATAATGCTGTAGAGATTTGAAAGCTCAACAAAGAATACTTAACAGGAAGCCAAAGGGGAATGGGCTGCGGCGATGGAAGAGGCCATCATTTATTCACGGTAATTCTCTTGAAGCCTGCGCTCATCCACAAACTCAGTGGTTGCTGGTTCAATGGCAGCTCTGACCAGTACTTAAAGGTTCTACATTGCACAAAATTTTATCTTGTGAGCTGGAAGATATGTTAATATGGTTTTACTTTCTCCAAAACAGACCTGGAAACTCATCTAACTCGCATTTATTCCATTACAGTTATATATATATATATATATGTACACCTTATTGTCAGTAGGTATTAATAATACATTCAGTCACTGTTTCACTGTTTTAATAAAATGGGTGTTTCTCATGTTATTTTGCACCAACTTAGTGGACTTCACAAAGATAGTTGCAAGTTCACAAGAGACAACATGCATACGGTATTTTTTCAGACTTATACTCCGGAGCAACTGACAGCCGCAAGAGGGCGCTCTAGGCTTGTGTGTCAGTATCTGCTACTTCTATCAGGTTATTATTTCTGTACCACTATCTCTACTGCACATGTCTCCTGCAGAAAGAGCCACTGTCCTGTCTGTAACATGTGAGTCGATCGCACCATTACTTCTGTACCACTGAAAATTTTAAATTTAAAAAAACTTTAATAAAGACAACTGAGAAGACTGAACACAAATGCCCCCCAAAAAGAAAATCATATTTTGATTACAAGCTGCAAGTAGTGAAATCTGCAGCCAAAAATGGTAATTGAGGAGCAGAAAGAAAGTTCGGAGTGAGCAAAAAACTTGTGATACTGGGAGGATGCACCATGAAACTTTCCTGGAAGTCATTGGATGGATCAACAAAGTCTGGAATTCAGTGACACCGAATCCATCCTGTCGCGATTCAGAAAGGCTGGAATAATTCTAACTGGAGCTGATGCTGAGTCTGACAACAGCTACACAGAAGAGGAAGCAGCGCTCTGTTTACCTCTGGAGGTCGCAGAGTTGCTCAGAAGTGACACCGAGGATGAAGTATTGAATGGATTTAGTGATTTGGAGTGAGATGGAGAGTTTGGTAAACTTGTTCTGTTGTTTATGTTATAGTTTATCTGAAGAACTGTTCATATGTGACGTTAACAGTCTGTTGTTCTCTCTTCTATTGTTATTACTAGAACTTGGCTTTCAACATGAAATGTTTTTTCCTGGTTCCGCAGAAAGTGCGACTAATATGTTTTTTTCTTCTTCATTGCACATTTTTTGGCTAGTGCGACTTATACTCCAGAGCGACTTATACTCTGGAGCAACTCATAGTCTGAGAAATACAGTATATACCTTTATGCTAATGAGAGTAAAAATGTACGTGCCTATATGGATAAAATATGGAGTGTTAAGTACAGCAGATATATTTTCAAGAATGTGACAGTGGAGAGCGACATGTTCATCATGACTGATGTATAAAATTACACTTTCACTGACTAAGATTCACTTTGCGATTTCATTCTATATTCCACAATAAGAAAAAGAATGTTGGATGTCATCAAAAACCCAGGAATTCCAGCTCAGCACCAAGTAAGCACATCTTTAACAGCACTCACCTCATCCAGACACCTTTCGTATTGCTCCCTCTGGTTCTCGTTCTCCATGGCCAGCGCTGAATTCTGCTCCTGTGAAAAACACCAAAACATACAATCATCAACTCTATAGTCTGAGCATCGAAAACATCTTCTAAACACTCTTGGTGGACGCCGACTCTACAATAAGGATTTCTCCCAAAAGGTCAGATGTCGACACGGGTGATAAAAAATGTAAAAGGTTAAGGAGAAGGCGAGGGTTGAACTTTGAGGCCAGTCTAATAAGAATATCCGGGCTGGACTTGGAAGAGATGCCCTATTGATCTTGCTGAGTTTCCAATTTGTCAGATGCGAGCGCCGTATTAGGAGCTGTCAGCGCCTGCGAACTTTGACCTTTAGGAGATGCAAACATGGTCGACGCGATGGCAACAGTGATCACGGAGCAAGATTTTTAATTGCGAGTTAGATAGGGAAGTGTTGAGTCTTGTTTTATGTATCGTGGAAATCTTAAATCAATTCACGCGCTGTACCTCTTGACAAGGAGTTCGTAGGCACTTATAAGTTCATAATTCTCAAGGCATGTGAAGGTTATAACAAGACTGAACCTATTTGAGTCTGAACATGCTTCAGATAGGATAATATATAATGAATGAAAGTGTAATCAAATGTAAGTTGTGGAAAATATAAGCTTATTTCATGGTTTCAAGGGCCATATGACACTATTTTCTGATCTATGTTATAATGTCGTTTCCTCATCGCAAACATTCCTAGAGTTGTGTTTCGTTTCATTCACACCTGTTTAACACACACATACACACCTTGCATATTTAGGCTGAGTTCTTCTCTCGATCAGAAAACACTTTGTTCCAGCTTGTGATGTCATGTGGTGATACAGGAAGTGCTCCATTATGTTCTAAAACTCAATGGTCACATTTTATACAGCGTTTTTCTACCTACAAGGCACTCGAGGCACTTTACGTACAGAAACCACTCATCCATTCACACATACACACACTCATACACCAGTGTACGCACACACTCGGGGCGAAGTGGGTTAAGTGTCTTGCCCAAGGACACAACAACAGTACAGTTGTCCCTCACTATAATGCGGTTCACCTTTTGTGGACTCGCTGTTTTGCATCCGGATATACATATGAATGTGCATTGTGTTCCTCTCCCTGCGTCCTGATTGGCTAAGGGATTGTAGACCATCGTCAATCAGTCTCCTCTGTGCCGTGTCTTCTGTACAGTACAGAATGTGTTCAGGTTGCCAAATTTACATAAATGTTGGCTCTCTAGCAGTGTGATTCTGAAGTGCTATACGTTTGCAAGTTTTCTCCCCGACAAAACCCACAATGTTGACGAAATGTTCTGAATCGACAAAGGCTCCTGCGGTTGCACCCAAAAGTCAGAGGAAGACGCAAACCATTGCACACAAAGTTGGACTTCTGGACACGCTGATGGAAGGTAGAAGTTACGCGGCTCTAGGGCGCCATTCCGGAATAAATGAATCTTTGTTCGTTACATAAAGAAGGAGGAAAATAACATAAGGATGACAGCAGCAATAAGTTTTAAGAAGAATGTAAAAAGGGTTGTACCTGTCCTCTGAGAAAAGTGTATAAAGTGTGTGGTGATGGGTTTACAGCCTTAAAACAGATATGATAATTGTAAAAAAATAAATAAATAAAGCTGACTACTTCGCGGATTTCGTCTATTGCGGGTTATTTTTAGAACGTAACTCCCACGATAAACGAGGGACCACTGTATTCATTTGTGGTAGGTGGAGTCGCACTGATGTTTGTGTAAATCATTTGGATGATTTCCGCCCTGGAATTGCCAATCTCTACTGAACAAAAACTAAAAGAAGCTGTTAACTTGAAAACTACCACTTCATAACATCAGAAAGTGGAACAGATCATTTTGAGCTTTGGAAATTTAGACAAACTAATCATAAAGTTGTGAAAGTCTGAATGTAATAAAACACAATTCTAGCAGATCTTAAAGAGTCAATTCTGCGTAATATGACTTTAAGAATGAATTGTGTGCAAATGTAAAAATGTATAAATATATAAATCATTGTAGAAAACGCAGTCCTTTAGTCAGAAGCCAAAGCATGCCGGTTCAATTCCTCCTGGACCCTATAACTTCACATGTTGTAAAATGTTTGTGCTCGGTGCTTGCTTGGCGTCAGAGGAGTTTATGGGCACTGGGAGCGGTGATGTATGGGCCTGTGTTTACGTCTCCAGCTCCAGCAGACGCAGCATCCATCACCACACGGCCACTGGAATCAAACCACTGATAAGTCCTGATAAAGCCATTTAAATGTAATGTTTAGTAATGCGCCTCATTGGTCCCACTGTGAAGCTTTCCAAAGATAAGAGAAAGAATTGAAATAAAGTGGGATTTAGTGAGCTACGGAGTTTGTTCTTGGAAATAAATGTGTGGTTTATGTTTTAAAGAGGCGGCATTACACTTCTATGGGGTATTAATCGCTGACATATTACAAATTTAGATCACCAGATTTTATTGTTTTGAATGCTAAAACTCACTCCTCCACAAGCGCCGATGAAACTACTGCACATCACGTCAGGTTTGTGAAGTTATAGTGTATTGTTTTGTATCATGTTTTTGTATATTTATGAAGAATTGTCGCGTGAGAGCATGGGTTCGTACTCCTAACTGTAAGGTGGGTTCGAATAGGGACCTGGAGAGATCGCTAGATTACTCAAACATGCATGGATGACATCTAAAACCTCTTCAGGGATGTTTTTGGTGAGGGTTCGACATTATAACATGGTAGAAAGTTATAGAATTTTAATTTGGTTGAGGTTTGGTTCAGTCACCTGCTTGTTTCTATGGATACATCATTGTTCTGCCTGGAATGTTCCACAGTATGACATTAATTAGCTCTACCTTACCTTTATTCAATTGCAGGTGGTTTTATAGCTCAAAAATACCTTGAAAAACAGACATTTTGACTCTGAGAGGGGTCGGCTCTCCACAGATCTGACCTGTAACTTGGTCTCGTATGGTCTCCATGAAGATAGAAAGGTTTAATGCCATACTGTGAAACATTCCAGATCTTTAAAATTAACAGATCAAGAAATTTGTCTAAAATGCAAAATATCCAAAATTTTCCAACAGAGGCCATGTTTGATGTTTTACATGTTTTAGAATAAATTTATTTCTTTTTAAAAATATAATAACACCACATTTTATGGATGAATTGAATGCAAGATTTTTTAATGAGTTGTCATACTGACTCCCGCCACAAGGGGTCTGTATAGTTATTACTGACACGATCTTAATCATGGTGTTTTTAAGCTTTTTTTAATTAAAGATTCTACACAAAATTGATTCTTGTGAGCTTTAAGCCACATAATAATGTTCTTACCTTCTCAAAAACATACCAAGCTTAAACCTGAAGCTCATACCTCTGTTTTCTATACATTTTCTATCATCCTTGAGGCTTGTTTTCAGAGTGAAGAGCATAACAATATTGGCCTGGAGCACAGCCAAAGGCCGTGTTGTGGGGGTCAAACTGGAGGACTTAGGCTACAAAGAATATGGAATGTTTTCAGACATGAGAGAGAATAAAATATATATATGTGTATGTTCAGTTGTAGTGTTGGTATGGCATAACATGGACGGTCCTTTATTTGTCATTTTAAAAGGTGCATTGTGGAACTTTTCCGGTAGAGGGTCAGCCAAATATTTGTCTCCGTGGAGAGGAATGTTTCACAGCATGGTATTAAACCTTTCTATCTTTATGGAGAACAAACCAGACCAAGTTAAAGGTCAGATCTGTGGAGAGGCGACACTGCTCACAATCAGAACGTATGTTTTTCTAGGTATTTTTGAGCTAGGGGTCAGTAAGGTTTTATGGCTATCTTCTTGAATCTAAAGTCCTTTTACTGATTTTTATTTAATTATTATTATTTTTTTTTTACAAACAGGGAGAACAGGTCATTTCTGCAGATGCAAGAACAACCCAGGACCTTCTCGTTATGGGGTGAGCAAAAATCGACCACAGCTACGAAAAAAAAAATCATGTTTTTGCTCAGATTTTACATCTACGTACCTCCAAGCTCTTCTGCCTCTTCAGCAGATGTTTGGATTTTTTTTTTTATTAAATGTAATACTGACTCCAGCCATAAGGGGTCAGTAACAGTTTTACGGCTATCTTCTTGAATCAAATGGTCTTTTATTGATTCTTATTTTTTACAAATGGGGAGAACAGGTCATTTCTACAAACGCAAGGAGAACAACCCAGGACCTTCTCCCTGTGAAGTGAGCAAAAACCAACCACAACTAACAAAAAAAATCTTGTTTTTGATCTACGTATCTCCAAGCTCTTCAACGTCTTCAGCAGATGTTTGGATTTTTTTATTAACTGTAATACTGAAATTGGTCTTTTAATGTTTTTTTATTGATTCTTATTTTTTACAAATGGGGAGAACAGGTCATTTCCACAGACACAAGGAGAACAACCCAGGACCTTCTCGCTGTGAGGTGAGTGAACAGACCACAGCGCCACCTTGCTACCAAAAAATACCGTGTTTTTGCTTGATTTTTACATCGACGTACCTCCAAGCTCTTCAGCCTCTCCAGCAGCAGTTTGGTCTTGTCCTCCCCGAAGTTCATCTCGGCATCTTCACTCGTGGACACCACCAGATCTGTCGCCGTGCCACTCCTCCCCTCCTCTTCCTCTTCTTCTTCTTCGCCGCCATGTTGCTTCTTCACCTCCTCCGACAGCTTATCCTGCGAACACAAAACAAGACAGGCTCAGAGAGACGTGACAGATGGCGATAAAAGTGTTCGACGAAAACGCTCCGCAAATTTCCGACCCGGCATATGGGACCCCTAATCCCGAATCGTGTTCCAGGAGTGACCTTGAGGGCCCCCATCCCGTCTGCCTTTGACAAACTGCCTCCTCTGATGCATTGTTGTTGTGTTTTTAGATTCCGAGCATGTGCGGTAATTAAGTGGCGGTAATAATTAGATCTTAATTAAGCCCTGTCTGATGAGCGATGATCTGCAAACAAAATACAATGAACTGTCTGTCACTGCAAAGTCATGAGGATGAGTTCAGGAGACAGATGGGATAAACTGGAATACGGGATAATATTTGTTTTACTGTCCAAATTTGACTATATTACCATTTTGAACTCATCTTGGTTCTTTTCGGAACATTTTGGAGCATTTCACAACATTCTAAAACCAGTTTGAATAGACTTATTTTAGTCTATTTGGCTAAAAAGTTTGTAGCTTTAACTGAAAACGTATCCATATCCATCAAATCTATAGCTATTTATGAACTAACCTAAATTAACTGTAATGCTGACTCCAGCCATAAGGGGGCAGTAACATTTTTATGGATATTTTCTTGAATCAAATGATGATTTACTATGAGCCAAACTGATTCTTCTTTTTTCTTTTACAAATAGGGAGAACAGGTCATGTCTACAGACAGTGAGAACAAGCAAACTCTCTAATCTGTACGAGAGTCGAACTCAGGACCTCTTTGCTGTGAGGAGAGTGAATTGACCACTAAAATACATTGAAAAGTACTGCTATACTCATACACATAGGGAAGAGAATGTCTGAGCCAAAAAAGGAACCAAACTATTTCAGGGGTTTCACACTTCAACCCCTAAAATTCAAAGGTTTAGTCCAAATTTAATCCAAACTTTTTTTTTTTTTTACTTTTTTTTAGATAAATAATAAATAATAAGCAGATGATACATGCCTTGCTGATGAGCAAAAAAACAAGAATGATGCAATAATGATGTCGTATATACTGCTTTTCACACGCTCAAAATCACGTACTTCCTTCACTCCTACTCTACTCTGACTATATACTCAGACGTGGTAAGATACTATTGTAGCCACAGCTGCCCTGGGACAGACTGACAAATGCGAGGCTGCAAAATCTGTGCCATTGGCCGCTCTGATCACCACCAACACACACACACACACACACACACTACTTTCATACTAGCCAACGCGGGTGTCTTTCGAAGGAATGTTGAAAAATCAATATAGTTAGTGTTTGAAAAGGCAGATTTCAAAGCTTTTTTTCAACTATAAATGAAAGTAAATGGGTAAGAAATATACTGATTAAGTACTTGGGGGGAAAAATACCTTATTGTCTTTGTTGTCTTAGTCATCAGGTATAATACTCCCTACAGTGAAAGCATAGCCAGCCTAGATAGGACTAGACTCATAGACACACACACACACACACACAGCCGTCACCCGAAAAATTCTGGACATCCCGAAATCTAATCTGTTGTCCCGAATCCTGAATCCAGCCCTAAATATCCTGAAAATTACACAAATTACAAGAATACATAAGAGTTATTTTCTGATAAACATTAAAATCTGTTTGTAGAGAAGCCCTGGTGAGTTCTAGCTGCTCTGTTCACAAGGCATACATTCATGTTGGTCACCCCCTACGTGGGAAGAGCGTCTGACTGAAGGTGGAGAGCAGAAGGGAGATAGCGAGGTGGAGTGCCGGCGACATACGGTCAGGGGAGGCAGGTGAGGCAGTGTCACAACCAAGCTTCCCCCTACATCTTGTAGTTTATCTCACTACGTTAAGTCCCTCGTCTTTAGTGTGGACGCTTCTGGATCAAGACCCCAATTTGTTATCTACATTTTTATATTGTACTTTATTCTGTTTTGTGTTTAAACAAAATCATTTATTAAAACTCAATGTTCTTATTAGTTAATGTGATTTTTATGTGCGTGTAAAGAAAACACACACCGTCCCGAATTTCAGCCAATCTCATCTGGTCACCCTACACACATTACATTCATACTGGGCGATGTGGGTGTCTTGCCTAAGGACATAAAAAAAACACTGGCATTCCACTGTACCACCTGGTATATATTCCCAGCAGCCTCCCATCCAAGTACTAACCAGGCTTTACTTCTGAGATCAGACGAGATCAGGCTTTGACAAGGAGGTTTGAGCACAGAACACAAGCAAAAAAACGAGTGCGAGGAGGACACTGACTCTTCCTCATCGCAGATTCACGCTCCCACTCCACTTATACGTTTGATTTGGGAATATTATAACGGAAAGCTGGCAATACAATGACACTTTGTTAGACACTAAACCAATAACCAGGCTTTGTCATGTATGGCCTTGTGTAGTCAATATTGCAGTTATTACATCTCTCCCTGGCTCTGTCTCTCCTCATGAACCTTGCAGCTGTTCAGTTCTGTGTATTCAGCAGACAAACTCAATATCTCCAAAGGGCAGCTCCAGGGACAAGGTTTCTTCCCCTTTTCTCCCGCTCTCTCCGAGGAGATTATTACCAAAGACCTTACAGCCGTCCAGCCTCTATCCGAGCTAACACCCACCACCGACCGCAGACGCAATTGTACAAGATTGAAAACCCAATAACGCCATCGGAAGGGGCCGTTATTTCAAATTCATTCTGCAAATTTTGAAATGCGACTCCGAGCATTCATCACTCGGTTTAAAAGATGTCTGAGGCAATTCCGTGTCAATGAAGGAGCTGGGATGACGAATGTAGCGTATGTAGATGGTCGTAATCTAGTGTTAGCATCGGATTAGCGCGTAAAAGCGGCCGTTAGCTAGCCGCGGGCAAAGTCACGGGAGTAGAAAGGGTTTTATGGACCCTTATGGATGTTATAATGGAGACTTAATGGACAGTGGTGAGCTGTACTGAGGAGAGATGAGGAATTTGAATGAAACGTGAAATTAGACATTAAAAAGTGGGCTGGTCACAAGGATGGTTTTTGCCTCTTTAAACTTTACATTTTTGCAATTATTTTATTTGAAAGATGTGTAAAAAATCATTGTAACAGTAGAACATCGAAGTGAGGTTGCAGATTTTTAAAGAGCCCATATCACGCCTCAAAAACAGACCTGGAGTTGTGTTTTGTTTCATTCCCACATGTTTGAGTAACTTTTTATTATTAGTCTGTCTATATCTTTAAAGCTCAAAGTGCTCTGTTCAACCTTGAGATGTCATAAAGTGGTAGTTTTCAAGTTAACAGCTACTTTTTAATCTTTAGTTCAGTCAAGATTGGCAATTCCAGGGCTGAAATGATCCAAAATTTGATTGTAGTGATTGTGCATGGAGTTTAAAAACCCAGTGGAGAACTTTTTATATTACCACAAGATAAGGTTGGGCGATATGGGGGGAAAAAAAAAAGAATCACGATTTTTTTCATCCATATTGATCAATCTTAATTTTTATTCTTTTTTTTTTTATTGATTATATTCACCTGACCTTGGGTTGGGTTGGGAAACTGGACTTGCCCGGAAACCCATACAGACACGGAAAGACCACGCAAACTCCACACAGAAAGGCCCGGGGATCGAACCCAGAACCTTCTTGCCTCACAGCAGGAAGGTTCTGGGTTCCAAACTTGATTTTTGATTCGATCTTCTTCCATCTGATTGAAAACATAGACATGTGGACTTCAGGCATAAAGAGCAGAGTGTCAGGATGACTACAGTTTAGATTTTCTGTTGACTGGACCAATAATTCCACAGAAACCATCATTTAAAGTTTGGAATGAGTTTGTATGATATATTAAGCCTAAATGCATATGTGCGCTACAGCTATCAATAAAAACACGTGCGATGTTCATGTGCTAAATGAAGTCTTAAGATTCATTGATAAACAGTGAGAAAATAGTCGTTTACTTTCCATAACTTCAAATATAATGATCATCAGAAGCACCATAAGAGAGAAAGAAGAGAAAAGGTGAGGAGGCTGCTTTTTCTTAAACATGAGCGTAAATCCTCTGACACACGATTGGCTGTTGACCTGTCGATTAAAAAGTCTTATCATCGAGATCGCTCTAAGTAGAGATGGCGACCTCTCGATCTTTCGATTTTTGGCACAGCCCTACCACATGACATCACGAGGTGGAACAGAGTGTTTTCTTTTTTCAAGAAGAGCCTAAATATGCAAAACACAACTCCAAAAAATGTCTGTGATGCAGAAACAACATTAAAACATAGATCAGAAAATAGTGTAATATGCCCTGTAAAGGAAAGAATTCCAAAGCACTGTTTTTATAGTAAACGCTTAAAGGTGCATTGTGTAACTTTTCTGTTTCGGTGGAGGATGCATCAAAAGCTTTTCTCCATGGAATTGTTATTGCTTTGTCAGGAATGTTTCACAGTATGGCTTTAAACCATTCTATCCTCATGGTGACCAAACCAGAGCAAGTTACAGGTCAGATCTGTGGAGAGACGACCTCGCTCACAGTGAGAATGTTTATTTTTCTAGCTATTTTTGAGCTATAATACCACCTGTAACTGAATAAATGTAAAGTAGAGTTGCTTAAAGTCATACTGTGGAACATTCCAGGCAGAGCAATTGCATCTCCATAGAAACATGCAAGTTACATAAGGCACCTGTAAATACCCACAAAAGAATCTAGTTTACCTTTCGCTTAAAACTTGAACTGCAGCAGCTCCACCCTTTCTCTGGGACCATTCAGCTGTTCAGTTATTCACTACTCGCTCCCTCTCGAGCCCTCCACAAACGCCACACTTCTGAAACGATTGCGTGAGTCTCCCAAAACACCCATAAACACGAGTGAAGCCCCCGGAAACACGCATCACAGTTTCAAATGAAAATAAATTGAATGATGTTTTGATGGAGATGGGACAGACCGAGGATACAGCTTGGTGCGGTAAACATCGGAATAGAAAAGCGGGACCCCAGCGGTGACCCCGAGCACTTTCGAAAGATTACAGAATTATTTTTTTTGTGCATTTATTTTTGCCTCTTGGATCCAAATCAACACAATCTTTTCAATGATTTCACCTCGTATTGCGTAGTCTATTGAACGTAAAAGTCTGTGAAAGGAATGTGGATATTTCAGCGTTTTTAGTCTTTGAAAAGGCAGGTTTCAAAGTTTTTTTCAAATATAAACGGAAGTAAATGGGTAAGAACCACACTGATACAGTACCTGTTATATTTGTCTATGGTTACGTTCAGACTGCAGGGCTTAAAGCTCAATTCCGATTTTTTTGTGAAATCCGATGTTTTTGCGAGGTCTTTCACATTTCCAATTAAATGTGACTTGTATGTGACTCCAGTGTGAACAGTAAATGGTCCAAAAGTGTCCCACATGCGCACTGGAGACACGACGACGTCAACCGCAGCGAGCGTGCTCTGTGTTTATGGAAGTTGTCCAAACATGGACACGAGCATTGAGCACCTGGAGATTTTAAAGTTCCTCTGGTACCGGAGCCAGAACATGAACAACTTACTTGTTTTAAGGAGGAGATTGAGAAGGAGAAGGACGAGGTTTTTGGCCGTGGTGTTTTGTGGGGCAGCGGCAACAACGTCCGTTGAAAGGAACGTGTGGATGTGGAGACGTAGCCAAGAGTGGTGAGTGGTGATGTGCTTCGCTTCAGTGACACGGAGTTCATTATCAATTTTGGCCTACTTCAGCGCAGAATAGTGACGTTTGTGGCTTGTTGATAACATGTAGGTCGAAAGAATGCGCTTTGGCCGTTCAGACTGAAGTCACATGTCAAAAGATCAGATATGTATCGGTTTTAGGAGCACATATCCAAGTGGCCTGGGTCACATTTGAAAAAATTTGATCTGTCATTAAAAAGATCAGATACAGGTCACATAGGGGCCAAAAAATCAGATTTAGGTCACTTCAGGCTGCAGTTTGAACGTAGCCTATGTCATCAGAGGTATAATACTCCCTACAACTGAAGAATAACCAAACTAGACTGGACTAGGCTGAAGCTAAATCTGAGAAATATTTTAAAAGTAGATATTAGAGTTGTTCTTGGAACAGAAAAGAAAGTACTGTTAACCAAAATATGAATCAGCTAATATCTTTAAATTAACGTATAATGCTAAGTTAGCTCGAGATTCTAACAAAACTAAAGTACTTCGCATCCGGTTTCATATTTTGACATATAAATCAGCGCGTACATTAATATTGCCGTAGAGCTGAGGGGGTGAGGCAAGACATGCTTCAAACAGGGCTGCTGAATAGAAGAATGCAGGAAGTGAGCCTGTCTCCATGGCAACGCTCGGAACTAATCATGTTTGAGTATCTGAAGTTCACACGGCTCTGAGCAATGGATCATGTTTGGATAGCAGAGTTCACGTGGTCTCTTCTCAAACAGAGAGAATCGCGTATTAAATAGCACGGCAAAAAAAATCATCTATGTGCGTGGGTTAGGTTCTGATTGCAGGTAAAAAAATTTATATACTTTATGAGGAAAAATATATGAAAAACTATAAAAATATTCCAGTTAATATTTACCAAATGTTACTAATACCATTGGAGTATAGTATAGTATTGCAGTATTCTTAATTTGCCAAGTACTGACTAGGTATTGTACTTTGCTTATGAACAACATTAAACATATATGGGTCAAAATGGGACAAATGTGTGAAAATTATTATTTGGGGTGATCAACTTTGCTACTAAACTGTGTACATGATGTTTCAGTAGCATTATTTACAGTTTCTAGGGCTTTTTGGCAATTCGTGCAAACTACACTACTGGTCAAAAGTTTCAGAAGTTCCAGGTTATTTATTGTAATTCAAGTCGTGCAAATCCAATGAAGAGTTTGAAAAGGTACAATGGTAAAAAACTGAACAGGCAGAGGTTTAAGAGGATAAAAAATACAAAACACAAGTCCAAGCTCTGCCAAAACTACCTCAGGAAAAAGAACAAGATGGTGAGCTTGAAAACCTGGAGTGTCCAGCACAGTGTCCAGACATAAACCCCATCGAGTTGGTTTGGGATGAACTGCACAGAGGAGTGAAGCAAGCTACAAATGCCACACGTTTATGGGAACTTCTGCAACAGACTTGGGAAGAACTTTCTGAAAAATATTTGATTTCTATTGTAAAAAGAATGAGCCACGAGTGTGTTCAGCTGTTATATCTGCCAAAGGTGGACACTTTCATCAATCAAAAGTTTAAAGTATGTTTTGGTCAACAGTAAAGAGTAAAACACTGGAAAAAGTGTGGTGTTCTAAAACTTTTGACCAGTAGTGTAGGTACATTTGCAACGTTGTGTTCAAAAACAGACAAAAACTGTGTGTGCTACCTCCAGAAGTTACTGCAATTTTAAGTTCTATGTGACATCACACATGACTGGAGATTTGGATCACAAACATCTGGCTGCAAGGGCGGAGTCTGAATTGTTGATACTTTTTAGACCAATCTCACTGTTCCTCATATGTCCAGACAAATAATGCAATAAATAATGATCAAATCCAACTGGTATACAAATATTTATGGACTAATAAGAATCATAAAAGTTTTTGTTAAGTTAAATCTCACATAAACAGACTGGTTTATGCAGCTTTTTGTATGAGATGTGGAAATGATCGATCTTTCAAGAGCTCAAGCCACGGTAAACGACTAAAGCTTGTTACTTTACACAGAGAAAGTTAATTTTCTGTTCATTTTCTTTTAGTATCAAGTTTTTTAGTATCAATACTTTTTCAGGGGAAGACCCAGGACACGCGGGAGGGACTATGTCTCTGGGCTGGCCTGGGAACGCCTTGGGGTCCCCCTGGAGGAGCTGGAGGAAGTGTCCACGTTGAAGGAATTTTGGGAACCCCTGCTTAGTTTGCTGTCCCTGCAAACCCGCCCCAGATAAGTGGAAGAAAATGGATGGATGGATACTTGTTGAGTATCTAGTTTCAGTTCTAGTTTTAATATCCATTAGTCTCTGATTTTTGATACTTTTGAACGCAGCCCAAATCTACATCGGGAGTTACAGATGCTTGAAAAGTGGACCAAACCATGACAAACACATGGACCCTTATGTATGGCAGATGTTGGTACCTTGTAGGCTTTCATGAGGTCCACAGTGTCCACGGCAGTCTGCTCCAGGCCCTGGTTCTGCAGCAGGGTGCGCACCGTCTCTTCCATCCTGAAAAACAATCAGACGCAATCTTTAAGTCAATCAGATCGGCACACAACAGCCAGTCTGCTTTGCTCACTGTTTACGGAACAATTAAAAGCTGTAATTGGGCCACTTTATGCTTCAAACAGTATTGCGAATTAGTACACATTATGCGGTTGCCAGATTACGCCTTCAAATGTACCTCTTGTAAGCAACTTTGCATTTCAGATCTCCACTTTGTATGGAAATGTAGCCCCAAGAGTAAACCGAACTCATTAGTAAAGTCAAAGCTCAGACAAGTGATAATGTGTAATAGGGTTTGATGAATACAACATATCTGAAAGAGTTTGCTCAAGGGCAACAAAGCACTGGAAGTTTGTGACGCTTGATAAATATATAATTTGTTTTCTTGTTTTGATTATTGATACTTGCAGCTGAAGTCATCAACGTTCCCTGGGGGTGTGATGCTAACTGAAAGCACTGCTCTGTTAGAAGTTCTGTTACTCAAGTGAAGACTTAATTTGAGTTTTGTTTTAACACAATTTGACCAGAAAGAACAGACAACAGGTGATGATTTGTGCTGTTAAACAAGTCTCTCACACATGTAAAAAGCCAACAGTTTTTCAATTATCCACTCTGACTTTTTTGTTGAAAATCAAACTCCTAAACGAGACCATGAAGGAAAATGTGATGTTTAAATCCATTTTATGTTTTCTCTTGAGATTTCAAACAATCTAAAGACGTTTGCTCATGTGTGTATTGTGTCACCATGGTAACTGCTGAACATTCTGCCAATAGAGATACATGTAGGACACCCTCAGCATGATGTCGCTGCACAGTATCAATAATACCTTTCAAATCATGTCATGGTGTTTTCTCTTATATCAAAACCAGGTCTGTGATATAAAAATTGTTCTAAATAAATCAATCCATGTGCTTCATAAAGATGAGAAAAGAGTAGAGCTACTGTTGCCATAAGAATTTAAACGCAAAATATGATATCTTTAAAAAAATCAACAGCGCAATTTGAACAATATTCATTTTAGCTGCCCACATCTGTAGTAAAGTGATGGTCTGAAACTTTGGAAACTTTGGGAAATCAACTGCATGATTCAATGGAAATAGAAAGTTAAACCCACACATTTTCCATGATGATAGATGCGTTTAATGCCATACTGTGGAAGATTAGTAGCCAGGCTGGTGTCACCTAGTGCCTCCGCTCAATTTCATTTCTCTCCAGAGACTAGGTCAAGAATCAGAATACTCTAGATGTTTTGCAAGAACCCTGGAAGTGCGAGTTTGGGCACCAGCCAATCAGTGAAGAGCCATATATTCTGTATTGGCAACGATTCTCGAGATCGAGGATTTAAAGCCGGAACAAAGAGAATGGGCGGTGAATTTTATCAACAAGAACAACGTTATTGCCCTTCTTTCTACAGGATTTTGGAAAAGCTTAATATACCAGTTAAACTCGTTAGAGAAGCATTACATATGTCATGACCAAATAGCAGCGATTGGTTAAATAAAAAAAAAAAAAAAAACGCCTATTGTCGAGCGACTGAATTCTATTGCTGCGAGGTTTCCATGAAGTGAAACCGGCTGATGAATCAGGCTAGAAGATTAAAGCCAAAGCAACAATATTTCCATGGAAACAACCAGGCCAAATAAGAGTCAGGTTTGTGGAGATGCGAGCACGCTCACAGTAAGGACACATGATTTTCAGTGCAATACAAAACATGCATGATGAAAAACTATGCTTTTATTTTAGTCTGTTTATGTTAAAAAGTTACATACTATGGCTTTAAATATTATGTTATGATGTAATGTGAAACCCAGCAATAACTAAATACAGATAGAGTAATATACTTCTTAAAGGTACATTGTGTAACTTTTCTGCTTTTCAGATGCTTTTCTGCATGGAGATGTTATTGCTTTGTCTGGAATGTTTCACAGTATGGCATTAAAACTTCCTATCATCACGGAGTCCAAACCAGACCAAGTTACAGGTCAGATCTGTGGAGAGGCGACCCCGCTCACAGTCAGAATGCCTGTTTTTCTAGGTATTCTTGAGCGTTAAAACCAGTTGTAACTGAATAAATAAATAAAATAGAGCTGTTTAATGCCATACTGTGGAACATTCTAGGCAGAGCGATGAGATATCCATAAAAACAAGCAGGTGACGGACTCTCCACCAGAAATATTACCTCTGAATGCACCATTAAATATTACAGGCCTGAACCGCAGCAATAACTAAATACAAATAGAGCTTCTTAACTGTAATGAATGTCTCAATGCGCATTTGAAAAAACGCGAACAATTCCAACAACAGTATATCATAAAAATGCTAAAACGCCGCTAAAGGAAGATAGAGTTTTGCTGCGGGACCGTTGGCCGTGATCCCAATCTTTTCCCATTCAGACTTTCTTAACCACACTACTAAATTCTCAATCTCAAATGTCCCGGCGCTTTTTTTTTTCTTCTGGGTTATTGTACGTAAATGGATGCACTTTCGTATTTATTTAAGACTTCAATTAAGCGCAATCAGGCCGACGAAATAGCAAAGGAGATCCCGTGACCTTCAAGGCTCCCGTAGCAATCTTCCATTTTGCACGACTAGGCTAGCGGCTGCATGCTAAGCAGATAAACGGCGCATATGCCCATTACCGAAGAATAAGTTGTTTTGTCCTTCGTACTACAAGGTTAACGGTGGTTGTAGAAAATGTAAACAAAATACAAAAATGGGGTGATCTTGAAAAAAGGACATGAGTTGGAAGTGAAAGGATAGAAAAAATGTAAAAGAAGGATTGGGGAAAGATAGCGGGAAATCTTTGACAGTGTCTGCAGCTGGATTTATGTCAGATTCTTTGGTGCGGGGAAGTGTCATAGAAGAATAAAGAGAGGGAGCTGAGATGAGATTTTAGCATTTCAAAAGTGTAAAGGTAGACAGTTAAAGTCCACCGCGAAGTCCTTTTACACAGTCACACTTTAATTCTGATTTGCTAGCGTGGCGTTTTTATAAAGTCAGTGTGCGTCTGAATGGACACGACTTCAACAAAGGATGAATCCACTGGCGTTCTGTTAGTAACAACTCACCCATAGGTAATATAATATTCCCTACAACTGTACAAGTGGGTTCGTATTATAAAGAGATTTGAGTGCCAAAAATGTGAAATTGATACCGGATATCAACCGATACCAATGCATGGACAAATAATGGCTTTTTTTTCCCCTTTTTTTTTCTTTAAAGGGCCCATCTCCTGCAAAATAACTCCTTTCACACTGTATCTTCTGCACATAAACAAGCACAATTTGGGTTTTGGAACATCCATTACACAATAGTTATGAAATCTTACTGATTTCTTGGAGGCAGTCACAGACCAGGAACTATGAAAGACCGACTATTGAGAAAGCACGCTCGTCCTGAGAAAGCACAGGCTCCGCCCGCCAAACGTGATGTAGGCTCTGAGTGAGCCGCCCTTCCTCCACCCATCTCAGGGAGGGAGGGGGAGACAGGCGTGCACCCTGATAGCGGCAGGAATAAACTTTTATTCATCATGGCGATACAGCGCTTTCAGTCTTATGCATTGAACCCGGAATTGGACAAGGACTTGAAGGTGCATGAAGCTCAAGCACCGCGTCGACATCAGCTGAACATGACTGATTTGTAAAGTATTATATTACATTATAAGTTATTATATCATGTACACTGCAGTGTAGAACAATTAGCTTATGCTGTCGCTTTTGTTTACGTGTTCATGTGGGAATTGTCATCGTTGTAGCAGCTTTAGTTCGTTGTCACATGGGAGGGTGGCAGAAATACGCTGCAATTTGTTTAAAAAAAAAAAAGCCAAATCAATCTAAAAACCACTTCAGTGACATATACAAGGCCCACACATCACTCTTAGAAGGTAGAAAGCTCTGAAAAGTTGATTTTGCATGAGATGGGCTCTTTAAACTAAAATAAAACAAGACAAATCTGATCCAAATGTGTTATGAAGCTGTTTTCCCTCAAGTAACTACTGAACAACTTTGTCTACATAAACATTTGAGACTTTGCGACCAGTAAACAGTCTTATTGCATCAGTTTATGTGTCCAACCTGGATATCGGCCAAACTGCTAATTGGAAGCCGATATCCGACCCAGATAAATTTTCAGTATCTGCGATCCAATAACGGTATCAGATCAGTACATCCCTTATAATTATGCCTTTTTTGACTCCAGCCTCTTGTTGTTTCTGAATTTATTATTACCATTTATATATTTTACTTTTTGTTATTATAATATATTGTGATGTGTGCGATCCTGTGTCCAAATAATTTCCTTGTGGATCAATAAAGTTTGTCCAAGCCAAAGTCTATAACAACGACAATAGTTTAGCTAATGAAAATTCAAATTGATGAAAAATAAATGTTGAAAGGTAAAAAATATCCAAAATATCCAGAACTTGGTGTGGAGGAGTAGTGACTTTAATCCAAGTTCCTCCAGCGTGACTAAGCTGAGTCATGTTGAGTCAGGCTGTTTACATCTCCAAAACTCATAATGCTCTGTTCCACTTTGTGATGTCATGAGAAATAGTAGTAGTAGTAGTAGTTTTGAAGGTAACAGCTCCTTTTACCTTTTGTCTAGTAAAGATTGGCAATTCCAGGGCTGCAATGATTCAAATGATTCTAGTGAAGGTGTGTGGAGTTTAAAAACACAGCTGAGTTGTGTTACCACATGACGTCACAAGGCCTAAATCTGCAGGGTTTGTGCGTTAAACATGTGTGAATGAAACAAAACACAACTCCAGGTCTGTTTGTGATGAGGAAACAACATTATAACCAAAGTCAGACAACAGCGTCATATGGACCCTTTAAGAACTCCATCGTCTCAGTCAGCGCTTTCTGCAGAGGACGGAGAAAACAAGAGCCAGGTTAAAACCAGGTCAGGGGCTAGAGCGGTTATAGTAGCAAATAGAGTAACTGTTTTACATTTTGGCTCAGCTCTGATCAGTCAGTTATGAGCATGAATGAAATGCTTTTGTGCA